GTTCCCCCTAAATATTTCACATACAAATAAAGAATATAAATCAACACAACACAAATCAAAACACTAATTAATATATATATATATATATATATACATATATATATATATAATTGCGTGTCTCTTTTATGGTCAGCACCTTTGTCTCCACTTGTCACAGGCTGCTGGAATTGTATCTGATGATGCAACATCCCCTTCCTTGAATTGGTGATTTATCTGAGACTTATCCCTCACATCAGAATGTGATGACATGTTGGCAGCGGTATGTGGTGAAAATTGTACAGAAGATACAAACTTTCCATTCACAGGAGGAGAGATGACAAAAGAGTTGCACCCTATTTTCCTCCTAAATTTCTTCTGTTTACGCTTTAATAATGATGGAGTACGCTCAACAGTTGATGATGCTGCAGAAAATGCAAAATCTTTCCCCTTTGAATCATTCACACCATGAACAAAACGAAATATATCATCCTTTTGCTTTTCAGAGTTTGAGGTGAAGTCAACCCCAGCATCTTCTGAAGCACCTGCTACACTGCTACAGCAGAATTGATTGCCTTTCAAATTAGGCCATACTTCAGGACCAGAAGAATGAAAATCATCCACAGAAGAACTTCTATTACGTGACAATAACTCATTATTGTCAGGATCTCCAAACCTTCGATCAGTTGTACTGATATCTTCTCTCCCCACAGCAGGCAAGTTTTCATCTTTGTAATTGGTAGGAATTGTTGATTGCAGATCATTTAATTCTTCTGAAGCTTTTGCATCTTGATCACTTGCTGTTGTTTCCTGATAGGGTGAAAAATCCATGGGTGAGTGAACAGCAGAATCGGGGGATTTGAGTGAACCATTTTCCTTTGACAAATGATCTAGCCCTGTCTGTTTCTTGTTTAAGGAATGCGGCTTCAATTTTCGCCTCATACATTTTGATCCTTTTTCTTTACAAGATCGGCCCTTTTGTGTGGACTCAATTCTTTTATTTAACTTAGGAAATAAGTTGTCTTTGAAACAAGAAGGATCCCATGTTGGGGGTTTGAAGTCCGCAAATGACTCTTTGGAAGGCTCTGGAGTACTTGCAAAACAATTATCACCCTTATCTTTATCTGCACTCGAGGAATGGCCCATGGAAGCATAATGATTTGGATGGGAGTCATGACCAACTGATGAGAAAGAAAATGATGATGCAGCTGCATTCACTTTCGAATCTTCAGACACATTACATTCTGGAATTTTGCCACACTGGACATCTCTGACACCTTCCTGACTAGTGGATGGCTTAGAGCAATGTATTCCTTCAGAACCACAGGCAATACCACAAGAGGTCCCATTTTGAACACCATTTAATCCACCTGCTTTCACAAATTGCCCACCAATATTCTCAAAAGCAGCATGAGCACAAGACTGCTGACCATCAACACCAGCTCCTGAACTAACACTAGAATGGCCAAAAACCTTGCCACTTCCTCCAAACACAAAACCAGCGCAACCATTTGCATGCAAATTCGTTGAATTTCTAGTGCCATCAGCACCCTCGGAATGTTTGATGTTCAGTTTCTCCATTTCATCCGATAAACTACATGCTGGAATGTCACTATAAGTAGCAGAAATACCATTATTACTCCCATATCGACTCTTACACTTATCACCAGTACCCAAATGCCCAATCCGATCAGCACCTGTTTCACAATTACCATTCATTCCCATCTTGACACTAAAAGCACCCATTCCATGATCCGAATTCCGCACACAACCAACAGGCTCCGGCTTCTCCACATTACCACTTGGCTCTCTATCACTACGGCTGCCACCAAAACAATCATGCTTTCCAAACTCAAATTCAGCCTCCCTCTCCCCACCCAAATTCCCCACACCCACACTAGACTTTCCCTTTTCAGTACTTGAACCAGAATCCAAATTGTTTCTACAAGCACTAAAAACAAAAACCCTACTACTATTCAACTCCACCTCCGAATTTGACATCACCTTCCTTTCCTCACCAGAAACCGTCTCTGTAACATTCCCACCGTTCCTTTTCAATTCCGCATCACTCCGTTTAGCACTAAACACAAATTCCACGCCACCACTCTTCCTAAACTCCTTCTCTTTTTCACTCGGTCTCGGTCCCTGCTCGGAATTCAAATCCCTAGCAGAACCAGAATCGCCCTTCCCAGCGCCAAACACAAAAACATCGTTACGATCGGAACCACTATCCACTCCACTAACATTTCCGGTTACCTGATCGGAGCGAAACGGATTGAAGCCGGAGCCGACGACGCCGTCGTCGACGGCGGTGGACGTTCTGCCGCGGGACCTGGCTTGCTGCGACGCGGACTGCTTCCTGAGCTTCGCGAGCCTCGGCCTGGACCTGGCGCGCGCGGCGGAGGCGGCGGCGGCGGCGGAAGAAGAGTTCAGGCAGTCGGCATTGAAGTGGAGGAACGGAGAATGCGGCGGCGCGTCGGAGGAGGAGTTGATCGGAGATCGTAGATGCACCGCCGCGGGCGACGACATTGCCGTGCGGAGAGGAGTAGGGTTTTGAAATTGTTGGTTGGACGTGTTTGAGATAATACTGTTATATTTATTCTTTAAGATATATGATTAGATTTAATAAACTGACATAAATGTAAATAACTGTGTAGTGAATAGCGTGACGACTTTGGGATGGAAGGTTGGGAGCGTCAAGCAGTGTGGGGCCTAACAAAACATTAGTACATTGAAATTTGGGGTGCCGTCTTGCTTCTACAATAAGACTCGTGCTATTTATTTTACTTCTTTAAAGTTTGTTCGTAAGAAAGGGACCGCAACAAATTGCCATGGGGTCATGGGGATATTTTTTTTAAAATGCAAAATATGTTCTTTATCATTTCATGTTCTCCTTTCACCTTAGTTAAGGCAGAAAAAGGTCATCCTTTAGCAGCTTAAATTTGATATACAACAAAATTATTAAGCTTGAATTTTGATTATTTTATTTTAGATAATTACATTATTGGTATATTGTTTATAATTAACTTTTGTCATAAAATTTGACTAATTATTTTTATTAAAAATATTTCTTTCAACCACAATTTTTTATATACATAAAATTCAAGCTAAAATTTTGTTTAAGAAAATTGAGTCAAATATTACTGAGTTTTACTATTTAATTATTATAGGATTTTTTTATTAAGATTTGATATGAGTTGTTTAAAAATTCAATATTGTCTTAAAATAATAGCCTACAAGTATCATCATCATACTTTAGAAAAAGTTAAATAAAATAATATTATAAGTTCACTTGATATAATTTTTCGGTCACTTAATATATACACATACAACCATTCACCAAAATATATCTAATCAAAAAAGACAATGGTGTGTATATAAATTTATATTCATCATTTTATTCAAATGATATAAGACTTTAACTGTATCTTAACAGTCTCTCTAATTTATGATTTTCTAAATCTTTAATTGATTTAACTTGCTTACCAAACTAGTCTTGTAGATTAAATATTTTATGATGTTACCAAACTTCTTATGACTTTTGGGTGGACTTATGCTAGTAGAATAAACTACTATTTGTTGAAGATTTTCTGTGAGGAGTTGATGCTAATGGCAAAAAGTTTCATACAATGGCATGACATGCTTGTATGCTAGAGGTAGAAAGAGGTCTTGGTATTTGAAATTCTTGACATATGAATTCATTATTTTATGATGAAGAACTGTTGGAATATTTTTTCCTAACCTAATAAATTGTGGGTCTGAGTTCAAAAAGCTAAATACAAGTGTGGTAATTCTTTTTTGCTATATTTTGTTGTTAAATCCCTAGCTTCAATTTGTTTAACATGGTGTTTGTAGTGTATGGAGTTTAGTAAAGCACAAATTAATATAGAAGGTAGGTGGCAATTCTTAGATTTTGTTCTGGTTGGATTATTGGCTCCTAAAATTTATAGCCATTGTTGATGTTGCTACATGTTTTATTCCAATAGGGGATTGTGTAAAATGTCTCAAACTATGTTGATTCTAATGGAGAGTAGCACTTGTAGTTTATAAAGCACCTTCTACCTACTATAGTATAAAATCTAATCATTATGCCCTCTACTTTGCATGAAGAGTCAGATTGTTTTGCATGGAACACGTCCTTAAACGATGTCTTCAATATGAAAAACACATCTGATATCATTCATACTCCATCTAATACAATCCCTCACCACATGTTTTCACCACATATGGGATTGGAAAGGGCCACAATTTATTAAAACTTTTTTGTGATTAGTAGTTCAGTCCAACTTGCTAACTAATTGCACCAAATTTAAAAGTCAAGTCCAAGTCTCCCACATGCCCTATCAACTTAACAAAAGATGAAACGTTGATGCACTATATGCATTATTGTTCTTAAGTTTCTAGTTTGTGGCTTGAGTTGTTTGATAGCTTATTTAACCAACTTTTTTTAATATGGATGGAAGTAAATGAATAATGTTTAACCAACGATATGTGTCGCCAACCATGGCAAATTGGGGATTTTTTTTTGTTGTAGCCTTGGATTCACTTTGGCATGTGCATAATAAAGTGGTTTTCCAACATGATAGGTTTGATAAAAATTGTGTGATGAATGAAATACGAGCTTGTGTTTTTGAAATCTTTAACAACAAGAGTGTTGACACTTTAAGATTGGGAACTCATAATTATGTGTTACATAGAAAGATTATCCCTATTTGTTGAGATTTTTTTCCACGGGTTTTTGCAAATTAAATTGTGGTGGTGTTGTAAATGAAAGGACTACTTCTTGTGGAGGTGTAGTATGTGATAGCTTTGGAAACTTTGTTGTGACTTTCTCTTGCAATTTGGGTCTATGCTTGGTGGTTTAAGCTGTGTTTTAAACTATCTACCATGGCTTAAAAATTGTTAGAGATGGTAACCTTAATGGTCCTAGTTTGGAGGAGTTTGACTTTGCATTATCAATGTGATTCCTAAATGATGGATGTTTTAAACATCACTCTTGCTACTCTTTAGTAAATAAAGTGATGAACATTATCGAGGAATATCATAAGATGACTTGTAAACATATTCTTCGTAAAACAAATTAGGTTGCCAATAACTTAGCAAAGCGTGGACATTTAATGTTTGAAGGTGTGCATATATTCAAGTCCCCCCTCCATGGATACAAATACATTTACTTATTATTTCAGTTATCTATTTTCCTAGAGTTTTTTTTTTTTTTTTTAGTTTGGACTTTTAGCTCCCATTGTAAAAAAATAACTCTAAAAAGACACATTGTATAACAATTTTGGGTGGTAGAACGTGACCAACATGTTTTACAAAATCGTCATCACCAATGGAAACAAAGATGAGTAAGAGAGGTGCAACAAATAAATGAAGGCAAAGATAGGTGAAAGGTTTAAACTTAGTGATGAAGTCGTGTTCTTCTTTACTGGTGGAAGAAACTCCAATAATTATCACACTATGACACCCATTTTTCTCCTAAAGAGAGTTGAAGGAAGAAGAGACCAATTTCAAATTAATGAGAGAAAATTATGTATATGAAAAAATGAAAATTATATGTACGTGACATGAGAGAGAAACTGAAAAGTGAGTGGAATAGGACTCTTGATGATGGAAATGATGCTTAATGAACTTTTTTCACTTCTTTAATTTTGTAATAATGATTTTTATAAAAATATAAAATTAAAATTTAAAATAGACAAGACTCCAATTGTAAGTTGTAATTCTGTATACAATCCAATTTAGATTAAATGACTTATATTTGGTGGGTAGATTTTCACATATTTTTTTTTCAACTCGTAATTATCCATGTAGATCTATTCTTCAATTATTTAAATCGATATTTAGGATTTAATTTTTCAAAACATATATTACTGGATCCTTGTTGAATTGTTCATATAATATCTGAATTTAATTCTTGATGAAAATAATTTTTGTTTAAATTTTATTTATCTTTTAATTAAGTTAGATTAGTCAAAAATGAAATATTAGTATATTACTACGAAAACTACATATATTATTAGATTAGTTTATATGATGTATGAATGAGTTTGAAATTTTTGTTTATTCATACTAAGGTTAACTTTGTGGAATAATTAAATATATCATTACATTTGATTTTCATTATTATCATAGAGAAAAATACAAATAAAAATAAGCTTGTATAATAATATAAATTATTTTTAAAAAATAAAATCTAAATTATGTATTACATATATTTATTTATTATAACTTTTAATATGACTTAATTTGTACATTTTTTAAAAAATTAGTGTAAATTTTAAATATACACAATAAAAAATTATGTCGAATATAAAACACATTAAAATATTATTTTTATTCAAAATTACAAGAAATATAATTTTTTGCTTTGTATATTATTAAAAAAAAAAAAGTACCACTAACAATACAAATATATCCCCCTCCCTCAATTATTTTCAATATAAATCAGTAAAAATAAAAATAAAAATAAAACCAATTTTATAATTTGTAATAGAAAAAAGAAAGATATTTTCTGAATGGCAACACTGCAACAGCAACATACCTGTTGCCTCTAGACTCAGCAGCGTAACATAAACGCAACCTCTGCAAGACACGTGCCTCGTCTCTTTCATTCGGTTACCGACCTTCGCTCTGCTTTTTGGATCCTCACCTGCAGAATCAGCGCTTCATCACTCTTCACTTCCATTGATTCAGGTACTTCTACTTCTTCCTTCTTTTCCAAGACAAAACCTAATAATGCTACCGTATGTCTTTCTGTTATTTCTACACATAGGACAAAACTACTAATACTGTTAAAGCATGTTTTGATACTAGTTTAGAAGTACTTTTAATTTCGGTAAAGAAACTCTTTAAGCCTTATCCAAAGATACTCTTAATAAGGTGTAATTTAGGCAAGTATAACTTATCTGTATACAATAATAATAATAGATAAATGAGTTTCGAGTTTCGACAGAATTCGATTCTTGCGAAGAAAATTTTATTGAGAAAGACTAAATTATTTTTTTGTGATTTTTAAGCTTTGAAAGCAATTAGTCTTCGATTATGAGATATCTTGATGCAAAAATATAATAAAAGGCACAAATAATTGTGACAATTTCTGTAAATATGTTAGTTACTTGGTCTTGGTGATTAGAGTAGACAGACCTAGTACTTTTCTTTGTTCATGTTTTGGGTGGACTATTTAGGGAGTCGTGCTTACGGTTGCTTCAAAATTCTGCAGAGAAAAAAAGGTGGGTATGGCGGCTTAACTATTCAAATTGGACTGTCTGATTCTCTATACGTTAAGCTTACCTGTGTGTAGAATTGTGATACCCTACAAAATCTTGTCCCAAATGAAATGGACTGTCCATTTCTACATGTTTGGTCATCGTGTCACAGATTAGCTGCAATTATCGAAACTTTCATTCTTAAAGTTGAAGTTACTGTTTTACCCATTCAGGATCTTATGTTGCCAATGACATAGCTTCATATTTTAGTTCACATATTGCCAGTGTCATGGATCAATACATTTTATTTTGTTTTTAAACATGACTTGGCAACCACATAGCTGTTTGGATAAACTTCTTTATAAGTATTTATTAAAGAAGAATTAAAAAAAGAAAAAAAAAATATTCTTAAGTAAAAATTAGATTCAATATAAGCTAAAAATTAGCTTTTTAAAAAAATAATGAGAAAATTTGTATAAACTAGCTTATGCATTAGCTAATTTTAACTTTTGAAAAATTTAATTTAATTTTTTCTTCTTATTTTCTTTTCCTCTAGAAGTGCATACGAAGAAGTTTATTCAAATAGACTTATTGTTTTGACTGTTTTAGAAAGCTGGGTTTTCTCCTATTACTACACAAGATCTTGAATTTGAATATTTATTTAGATGGAGACCCGAATCATTTTGCATCCATTTAGATGAGACTACTTGAGTATGTCCCTTATCTCCATAAAGAAGATATTGATCCCACCTCATGCACCTTTGATGTATTCCCGAATGCAAATTAAACCTTTCAAGTGGCTATTTCATGGATCTTGTAGTAACTGGTTAAACAAGCTCGGTACAAATTAAATATTTAGATGAATGATAGTGAGATAATTCAGTCTCTCAACAAGTCTAGAATTGTCTAAAATATTGCTCTGGGTTTGGTACACCTTCCCATCCTTGTAGAAGCTTAATGTTCTCATCATTATGTGCAATGCATACCTCTGTACTTGTTTGCCACGCCTGCAGTAGAGTGAACCACAATGATAGCCGGAAAATATTAAAGATGATCCAAATCCTTGGATGTGAGTGCGCATGAGTGTTATCTTGCATCCTTTTTAATCCCTAAGAAAGATGCTATCATGCTATGTACAGTCTATAGTACAAGAAAACAACTGGTACAACAACATAAAATAACGAATAATAAATACTATTAAGCTAGATGACTTTTATTTCAACACGAGGAATTCAACATTCAAATTCCTAATAGTTTGTACTCTTTCATAATTAGGCAAATTCCAATACTGTACCATAGATATTGTATTCATAGTGGGATGTTTCTCCTCTTGTACTTGTCATTTTTTCCTCCAGTGGTCTTGAAAGCTCTCCATTTTAGAGTAATTGTATCATGCGATCATGCAACTTGGGAACTGGACATTGATAAGGTAATTTACTTCTTTCTGTAGGGAAGAATTTCAGAAGAATTTGTGGAACTTGGAGGATTCAGCCCTACTGAGACTGTGAGACAGTAAATGAACCTACTTAGGAAAACAATGTGGATCTATTAATGCACGCTTTTATCTTTCATGGAGAACAAATCAGATAAAATGCTGCGTGGTGAGGGCTATCAATTAATTCTTTCATCTGAAGCTCACTTCAACCACTTTTTCATTTGGAATGAAATTTTGATATTACTGTGTAAAGTTGATACTTGGCAGTGCATTGAACAATGTATATTATGTCAGTGAATTTACTCTGATGAAGCTAGGTGCAAATGTTTGTAGAAATGTAACAGCCATGAAAATTGTTTTACACATCATTACAATTGAAGTAAGGGAGTCAAATATATTTATTTTTTTAAATTATAGTCAAGGAGTGAAGCTTGCCAAAGCAATGACATGCTAGAATTTTTAGACCATTCATTTGGACTCTGGAGAGTGCAGATAATTTATGCATTTTCTTGGAAACCTTTTGCACTTGATTCAAACTTTTCTCCACATTTTGGCCTTTTGAAGGCTTAGTATGAGTTCCTATGCATATTAGAGCAATGATAGCAAGCTATTTGTTCAAGGGATATGTAACTCTTTTGCAAAGACCGAGTAAAATTAATAAATTGGATATGCTTTTTAATTCATTCAAATGGGTGCTAACACCTATTTTAGAATTTGCCCTGGGGTAGTTTTTTTCTTAAGGAGGGAGTTATGGTCTTGTGGTGCATAATACATTTTTTGAATTTTTTTTCAAACTGATTAAGAGATAAGGTGGAAATGTATATTTACTTAATGGAACTCTCTTTACTTGAGAAATCTGTATCAGACTTTTTTTTTTTTCATCTACTTTCGTTTGATGCACTGAATCACTGATCATGTTACATGATACCCTCGATAAAGACTTTGATTGTGTGAGTTCAACAGATAACAAGGAAAGCACTTCTGTGGACAAAGTATTGGCTGACACCAATCATCCTGAGATTGATGACAAAGGTGTTCTGAAAAATTTTACAAGATCTTCACAGGATGTCACAGAGACAAAGATAAATTGTCCAAAGGGTACACGTCCTGAGGAAATTGATGCATCTGGGGATGTAAACATGGAGGCATCCATAACAGCTGATGATGTTATTCGGGCTGGAGGATTTGGTGCCAGGGATGATATCAGTAGCTTTCTTCCTGTTGCAAGTGATTCTACCGACTTTGAAGCTTCAATCCGTGATGCACGAGATTATGAAGAACCACAGGGTCAAGTTAGCAGGCCCGGCCTTGGCTGGACTGATGCTACTAAGAGGGAATGAATATTATTAAGGTTATATGCACTAGGATACGCTGCTTTTTGTTGCTTTTAGCTGGAAGGGCCATGTGTTTCTGGCTAATATTAGATGGTGCTTGTTAAATTCAGTCATATGATGCTGGTGAAAATTTTGTTAGCAATGTCACTAAAAGATTTTCTTGTAAAAATAGTTGATCCGTTTGCTAGTGTTTGATTTGCCCTTGTTTTCGGTCGGATAAGAACTTATCCTTGAATTTTCTCAACCGTTTTATCTGGACGTACAAAACGTGGTTTTCTGAAGTTTCATTAGACATGGGTGTTTTGAAATTTCATACAATATTCCTGTCTTTTTAACGCCGAAAATGAGTTGTTTAAAACACAATATATCATGTATCTATGTTAAGGGAGGTTATTGTACGGGTAAAAAAGATATACGTAATTATCTGTAAGGGAGGTTATTGTGGGAATTTAAAAGGTAGAATTATAGTGTGAAAATTCAGGAAATTATAGGGATGGTTAGTGTAATTTGCGTTTTTTACACTGGTCAAACTTGAATACGGAAAAGTAGTGCAATATTTGGAGGGAGGGAAAGAAAAGATAGAAAGGAAGAATTTGTTTGCTATTGGTCGAGGGTTATTAAGGAAAAGGATATTTGATCCTCTCTGAATATGATTTTCTTTTTCTGATGTATGAAAATGATTATTATATTTTTTTGTACTAAATACTCAGGCGTGTCGATATTTTAGGTAGATGAAGCCTGAAGGAAGTGTGATATGTATAATCTGCAATTGTCTGGCCTATTATGTTGGGTATAATGCCAATGTTACTTTTTGTTGGTGATATTGGACAGTGCTAGTTTGAATGAACGTGGAGGAATGAATTGTAGAAGTAGATGTAAAATAATTAATAGATGAGTTGAAGTTTCATATATGTATAACTATTTTTACATGTTAATAATTAAAAATATTATCTAATTATTAACATGTAAAAATAGTTAGTTATTACAATATTACAATTAGTTTACACCGTAAATAATTATTGTACTGCTAATAGATTATATTATTAATAAATGTACTTGAGAGAAACTCAAAATAATAACTATTGAGAAGAAGATGAAAATTTGTCTAAGATGGTTTCATCACATGAGAAAAAGTTGCTAGGATAAAAAATTGGATGAAGTGGAAAAACAGTTCACTTGATATGAAAATTGAAACTTGACTTTTGATAGCAGGATTAGAACCTATGAGCTATGCAGCTCATTTCTTTCAGTAGAATAGGACTTAAACGCCTAGTAATTGTATAAATTTTTGAGAGGTGGCCAACCGAAAAATTAACTTGAAGAGATTTTTTTATCTTACTTTGCAACGTGCTATTTATACGATCATGGTTAAAAATTTTGTTAAACAAACAAATGGTTAGTTATCACAGTTAAAAAGAAGAAGAAAAAGGTAATAACAGTTCTCTTTATTTAACCTTTGCTTTACATTTAATAATAAATTTCTTTGCTAATATTTTTCTCTTACAAGGGTGCCCCTAAGATTTAATCTTACAATTCTCTGCAAACAGCTTACAATAAAATATCACCACCAAACCAGCTCATCATCATTGGTGTTTCCCTGAGCCAATCTTCTAATTATAACCTAAAAAGCAAGCTTCCGTTTGAATAGAAAATACATTGGCCACGGTCACAGTTATTGAGAGCAAGGCCAGGGAAGAAGCATAGACGATCAAGAGAAACGTTAACCATACTCTTTTTAACAACTTTTTAATAACTTTTCTTTTAATTGTTGGTCGAAACTTATTGAAAATCACAAATTTTGTGGATTTCGCATCTTAAATCCCTCCTGATTTAGTGATGAAATTTATCTAAATTTGTGATTTTCAATTGATAATAAAGAGAATATTAAGAGAAAGTTAGAGAAAAATTACTAATTACCAATAGGTGACAACCTCACACTAAAACTAACATGAAGCAGATAGTGCCTTTTGAAAGATTTTGTGGCCAGGGGCAAGCAGGGCTAGTGGGTCATAGGCCCTTTTTCTTTCTACAAATGCCTCCCATTGTGACCCAAAGTGGGCTTTCCATTCTTCCTCTGTGCTGTAATGGGGAAGGTACTGCTTCACTCTCAGTTGGGCACGGTTGCAGAAGTCTATGATCCTTTTGTTTTGGGCTAGAATGTGTTCTAAACTATCTGCACCTGTTGAATTCGGGACCGCAGAGGATAGGAATGCCACAAGGTACAAAACATCTTCCTCGGGGGTAACCAAAGATGTTTTTCTGTTCCACCTGTAACAAGAAAATGTAAAACATGACTCAGATCATGAAAATTAATAGAGTATAATTCTTTTGGAGATAATAATCATAGAGTTTGATGAATACGTATTGACGGTAAAAAACTTTTATAGTCGATCAATAAAAAAATTATCCTTATTATGTTACACTATCCGTATATAGTTTATTTTCTCGTAATAATATATGATCTATCGAAGTAACTGATTGTTACACTGTCATCCAGTGACAAATTGAGATGTATAGTAAGTCTTAGACTCATTGGTTTGTGTCATGTTTGACTAGAGATATAGATATATACCTTGTTTGGTTGACGGGGTAAATGAGTATGGGACCGTTACTTGTGTCCTTAAGAATATTGCCAAATACTTGTTCAGCGAAGTGGTGAATCTCACTACTTGGGATCAGAAGGTTCAGCCAAGGATGGGGAACTTCCCACAACCCTTTTGCTCTTAGCTTTTTCTCAGAAACATGCACTCTGTCTAGGAATTCCTCGTAAGAAACTTCTGATAGGAAGAGTGTGGGAGGGATGTAACTCAGCTTTGACAGTAGGTGATCAACACTCTGCATTTTATGGAGATGAGAACTTTTTTCTTCTTCTTCATAATCAATGGTTTAGTTCTAAATTCTGAGCATGCAATTAATAAGTTGCTTGGTGTGTCATACCTGATTCATGACTTCAGCTTCATCAGGGTTGAAGTATTTTGCCATCTCAAGACAGTAGAAGGTTTTCCCATCAGAAATGAATTGGCTCGCTTGAAGTGGGTTTTTTGGATCAAAGGATGATCTCCAATTGTTAAGGATGCCGGTTCTGTTTATAATTACAAACCCTTCAATATAATCAAATGTGTTTTTAAGTGATATCAAATACTCTTGATCCTTAGTAAATGTTGAGAATTCTGAGTAGAGCACCCTAATCCATTTCACCTGTCAAAAGCCACAGATCATGTCATACATAAATATTATTGGGAACTATTTTTTTTTTGCTCAATATTAGAGCTGTGAATATACACTCACCATCTTGGGTGCTGGTTCAAGAGAAATTCTAGCCCTTGTGATGATGCCAAATTGACCAAGCCCTCCAAGAACACCATAAAAAAGATCAGCATTTCGGTTTGCTGAGCAAGTAACCACCTCTCCTTTTCCTACAAAGAAGATTTAATTTTGCAAACTAGATTACTGTGATGAAAAGTCAAAAGTGACTGCCACACAAAATGGTTAACTAGTTTATAGAATGCACCATTCACACACTATTATTCTCAGTCCGCATGATAAAATCTAACAACTTTTACTTTATTTCTGAGAAATAATTGTTTATTTATTTACTGTCTTACTGAGAGAGTTTTTATATATAAAAAAAAATAAATGATTTTTTTTAACTATCCTAGACAAATCCTGTAACAAATAAGTGTTACTGCACTCATTCACTTCAGTAAAATTTTTAAGTCAGAGTTTTATAGATAAAAAAAATATAGTTGAAATTAATTATTAACGAAACTAATAGACATTTTGTACTAATAACATGATTATAAACAAAAAAAAAAAAAAAAAGTTGTAGTAAAACCTTAATTACTACAAGAAAAATTAAGAATGGGTTGTGTTTGAGCAGTTACCTGTGATCACTTCAAGCTGGAAGATGTTATTAATCTGAGGTCCATGTTTGAAGGCTTGACCACTTATGCCAGCATTTGAAAGAGTGCCTCCAACAGTGAGATGAAGGTAATCTGTCCATGACTTTGGTGCCAAGCCATGTCTAAGAGTTTCATGCAGAATGTTTATCCACAACTCACCCCCTGAGACATCCACATAAGGCAATTCTCCATTGTGGACTTTCATTTCAGGACCCTGCAGTGACTCCATGTTAATGACAAGGCCTCCATGTGCTTGAGCCTGGCCTTGAAGGGAATGGCCATGGCCTCTAGCAGCCACCTTCAACTCTGAGGCAAACCCCATTTCAAAAACATGCTTTAAGGTGTGTGAAATATCAGAAACTGTCTTTGGATGCAGCACTGCTAGAGGAGGAAAATGGTGAATGTTGCCAAAGTCCTTGGCAGCATCACCATTGTCCCTTAGGCTAAAGTGGCCATCTAGAGGCAGTGCTTGGAGTGATGAGAGGATCTCATGAGGTGGAAATGGAACTAAGGAATTGGAAGCAGAGTTGTTGCAGCCTGAGTTGGCTTTGTGAAGTATAGAATTAAGGATTAAGAGTATGAAGATTTTGATTGATGAAAAGTTCCCATGTTCATAGAAAAAACCAGGTTTTGACACCATGGTTTATGTTTTATGAAAATATTGTTTTGTATAAGAAAAGGTGTTGAGGTGGAATATTGTTTTGGAAGGCAGGGTATAGAAGCTGAAGGAAAAGGTTTGGAATAGCATGGATTGATTGAAGGAGTGACCCCTTTTATAGGCAACCTGATTCTTTGTGATGAGTGTCCTTGTGTGTTTTCACTTTTATTTTATTTTTTATTTAAATTTTGGTATCTCAATTTTTTTTAGTTAATTAATTTTTATTTAACTACATCAAGTTAAGTTTCATTATAATTTTTTTATAACTATATTATTGATATAAAATATTCATTAATTTCATTAACTAATATTTATTAGAAAATCCATCTAATTACTTTTGATAAAGTTTCATTTTCAACTATATTTTCATTCCATTATCAACCTTTTTTTCTTCTTCTTAAACTCTTGATTATTTATTTATTTTTTATGCATAATTGTAAATCAAATCAATTAAATTATTTCATATCTTATTCCGCATAAAATCACTAATCAGGCACATAAAATTCCATTTAATGGAAAAATTAAAACTTTTCATTTTTAAAACTTAATCTTACATCATATAAAATCTTTCAAATTTTCTCAAATTTCCTCTAAACTTTTAAATCCATCATTAACCTCCAAATGTTTTGATACAAAAATAGTATATAAAGAGGAATTAAAAGTATAATTAAATTTTTTTTTGTCTATTTAAATCGATTTTGGGAATCCTATTTGCAATGATAAGGTTAATACCATTGTTAATGGTCCTGTACATTGACTTGATATAGTGGTATTGAATCATTGGGTTAAACAATGAGTTGCTAATTGAATCGGGTTCAACCATACATGCAATGAATTTATATGTTAGAATCTCAGACTTGATAATCATAACTCAAATAACATCAACTATTATATATCTGTTTATACACCAATTGTAGTGCTCTTGTACACACAGAGAGTAATATGGAAACATGTATCGAAAAAAAGGAAAGAAGAAATAATAAAAAGAAAATAAAAATGGTTGAGTAATTTTCGTTTGAGGATTGCTATATCCTCGAAACAGCTTTTTGACCTTTAAAATTTTGACACCTCCCCATAATTATATTATAAAAATAATTATTTAATTCAATGTTTTACAATGTAAATTAACTTTTTATGATTCGAAACGGGTTTTGGCGTGTTATTTCGGACGAAACAACGTTTATCTTTTTGTATATATTTACCTTTTCTCTTATCTTATTTTCATCCCATGCTTCTATTCATGCACCCTAAAAAATGGAATATACACTTATCATTTTCCTTTTCGTAAAGAATAATTAATGTTAGTTTACACACGTACATACAATTTATTATTTGATGATATAACTGGTCTCTCACCAATTTTTTTTTTAATGTAATTAACATTTTGATTCATTATAAAAAGAAGTTGTCATATATATACATATCTATCAATGGTTTTAATTTGCATCGAATTAGTTTTCAATAGTATACTTTTTATTTAATAAAAGCATATATTAAGTGAGATTACAATTTTGAGTTTGAATATGCAATTATCTTAAATATTTGAAAGAAGAAGTTTATTATTTATGTTTAACTTACTACAATTGTTTTTAATTGAAGACGCCCCATGATCTCTAGAAAGAAAAAAAGAGAGAGAATACACTAATAATATAATACATCATATTTTATAAAGAATTGATATATAGTCAGTGATGGATCCAGAAATTTTAGGTAGTGGAGACAATAATATTTATTCATATATTTTTAGTATTAAAAATTATACATATAATTTTTAAAAGTATAAATATATATTATAATTATTTTTTTCAAGTTTTTATATCTATGATTACAATTAAAGATAAAAATAAATTAGGTCATATTAGATTATCTTATAATTTAGTAGGTTTGAATATAACTTTTTAAAAAAATATATATCCTAAGTATGACTTATTTATCTGTCATAAACATTTTTTTTAAGTATTTGATTAGAACTACAATTCTAAAGACCTAATTTATAATAATTTAACACTAATTAAAAAATATAAAAATAAATATGTTAAATTTTATAAAAATCAAGTTTAATTTATTTATGATATAAACATGATTTTAATATCTAATATGTATTTTTAGATGATAGTTTATTTTAAAATATATTTTAAAATAAAAATTCTAAATACAACATAAATCTTTCAATATTTCCTATTTTAATATTTTTTAATCGACGTATATAATAAATAGAAAACACAAAAGTTAAACATATATACTGCAAATTTTATTTTATCAAAAATTAATTTTTTAATATATTATATTATATATATGAGTATTAAGATATATATATATATATATTATAATTAAACTTTTTTTAAAATTGATTCGTTATTAAGAAATATTCTTTATCACATAAGAGAATTAATCTTCTTCAAAAATTTGACAAACATCAAATAAATGAATATCTCCTCCAAATTTATATTTTATACATATGATAATTTAAATATATATGTTGATTTTATTAAAACAATTTTTATTTTTTAAATATATTATAATTTTAAAATAAAAAAATGCATGTATGAAATGGAAGTGGAGGCAAGTGCCCCCATTTTAGAGAACCTAGATCCGTCCCTGTATATAGTGTATATATTAATATTAATGGTTAGACAAATAATGCAAGGTTTATTCTAACAATTTAATTTTTATTAAGTAACAATTATATTAATAGATACTAATGCTTTAACATTTATTTGTGTGTTATAAAATGTGATTGTTTAGTTAAAAAAATATGTAAAAAATAAGATATATATAAACAAACAAGGCAGTAAGGTGATGAGATTCCAGACATAAATTTTTCTTCTCTAAGCATGCTTAATTAACGCTGTAACATATCTTTAATTAGTTTAAACTTCAACTGGACTTTAAATGTCTCTCTCGACTTCAAATATAGTTCAGATATTTGGTGGATTTATAATATTTTATTTTGATGATGCCATTTGCACATCATAAAAGTGATGCTATAGATAGTAGTTGCAAACTCTAGTCATGAAAAAATATTGAAGAGGGTAAAATGGATAACGAAACCTATAAAGTTCGACATTCAAATCTTTTAATCGACAAAATAAGATTAGGATATTATAGGGACAAAAAGTAGAAAAAATTTCACTCAATACTTTTACAGGTAACTGTTTTATCTGTGTGTTTATTGAAGTACAAACATCAAAATTTTAGCACTTATCCTTTTCACCAATACAAAAGTGGTGGTGGTGTGCGCCCAAAAAGTGTCTTTCATCTTTTCATGTATCTTACAAATTTATTGCTCCTAATTGAATGCACTTATTTACTTTATAAAAACTCATTTTAATAATGCCTACACGTGGCGTGTAAACACATTGAAGAGGTTGGGATATATTTTGACTAGAATATAATATATATAATGTAATTTAAATTCATAAAATCAATTTATAAAATGAATTTTATTTCTCATTTATATATTATTTTATATTATTTATAATTTATGTGAGACTTAATTTTTTTTAATATATCTCTCACACAAATATTATAGGATTTGATGAGTGGATAATATAGTGGGTATTTAATTATTAAATTTAAAATTATAATATTATTTTATAATATATAGTTGGATTCAAATTTAATTTAATACTATATGTAGATCCAGCTGGTCACTACACGCGGCACAACACACTGGAAACACCAAGTAGATAGAACAAGTATATGAATATAGGATCTAGAATATATAGATATACAAGTCCCAGTCTGACTAGAGTTAGAGTGTACAAAAAAAAATACATCATCAACTGCTACATCAAGTAGCTAAACCACAAAAACAAAACATCCCTAGAGGATCAGCTCCAACTGACAACTACAGCCCAACTACCAGCCACCGACCTATCCCTGCTCTGCTCCCATACATAGTATGATCATTGCAGTCCAAACATCACGGAGACAACAAAAGGGTAAGCTAGTGTAAAGAATTCAACATATATATATATATAAATATATGAATAGAACATCTACAGCTATCAGCACACCCACACAACTTATACTACACTACAGCAATTCAGCAATATCAACACTGCTCAGCGGCTATAACAGCACCACAATAGTGGCTAACAGCACCGACATAGCGGCTATAACAGCACCACAATAGTGGCTAACAACACCGACATAGCGGCTATAACAGCACCACAATAGTGGCTAACAACACCGACATAGCGGCTATAACAGCACCACAATAGTGGCTAACAACACCGACATAGCGGCTATAACAGCATACAGCTCAGCATTTCACAGCACAGCACAACACAACTAAACAACTTACAGCACAACTAACACAACTCACAGCACAACTCATCATCATTTACAGCTCAACTCAGCATATTCATCAAATATCAGCTTAAATTAACATAAACAACATTCGGCACAGCTCAACTTTTCATCATACGACATTAACATCATTAATCAGCATACAACATATTCTCAACAAATTTAGCATATCAATTCAACATTCTTCTACGCGCCCGGCGCACCCAAGGTCGCGCCCAGCGCAGTTCAAACAGAGAGCATCAGGGGCCAACACGCCTAGCGCAAGACTACTCGCGCCCGGCATGGCCCCTCTCGCGCCTGGCGCAATTGAGAATTGCGCCCAGCGCTTGCCAGGCAGAGACGCCTAGCGCTCGCCTGGCCCAAGGAGTCTCGCGCCCAGCGCGACTAGGGTCGCGCTCAGCGCTGAACTACCACTCAAATATTGCCTGCGCGCTTGGCACGATCCTTTCCCCGCCCGGCGTGGACCAACCAGAGGCTCACCTTCTCAAGCTCGCCCGGCGCACACATCTTTGCGCCCAACGGGCTTGTCAAAAAAGAGCCCCCAGGTGGTCTCGCGCCCGGCGCGAAGAACCGCGCTCAGCGCGAGACTCGCCAGCAAGCTATCCAAGTTCAAAAACTTCACAAATCCTGCAAAATAACCAGAAAATCTAACATGCAATCCAGCAAACAGTTCACATTTTCATCATAGATCAATAAAAATCAAACATTTTCCACATGCAACCACAGAACAAGAATTTCCCAAAAATTTCTCAAAAGCCCCAAAAACCCG